CATTGTGTAGAACAAAAAAGCAAGTACAATAGTTCTTGAGATGAATGGTATCATAACTCTCTCTTAGCAAGTCTAAAATTGTGTGGCCAGGGTGCTTCTTGCTTCTTCGGATCTCGTTCGACGCTTGTTCAGTCGATTACAGGGCCCCATGATTACCGGTCGTTGACGCATCGCCAGCTGTCGTTTCTAAAACATATCTATCAGCATTGTTGAAGGGAGAATTGGATAAGCGTTAGATCTCTGTTATCTTTAACCCAATTTAACTGGCGCACAGTACCGCGCTCGATAGCCCTCATGGGAAGAGGGCTACTGCTAGAGTATCAAGTTCTACGAATAACGCCTATCTTTTTCTGGTATTGCCTGTTCTGTTCCCAGAAACTGCTGAGTGAAGTTCTTGCTTCGCCGAAAGCTAAGTATGACAAACACACATGCATAATATTTTGTATCCTTTTTATTATCTGGCAACCTATAAAATTCACGTGTGACTATAGATTCCGAAAAGTGAACTCCATAGCACATTGGGACATTCCTGCGCAGTGAGTTGAAGGCTGACAACAGGCGCAGCTACTACTAATACTCAGAACTGGTAAAGGTTATGCTTCCAAAATGAAAAAAGAATGAAGCTATTTCCGCTGATTACAAACATCTTTTTATAGTACCTGCAATAAAAAGCAGTTCTCAAAAGGCCTATGACCTACCATGGTAATATAAATTCTATAAGTTCTCTCCCCAAGGTTCTTCTAAAGATGGCCAGGAGTGGATGTGAGAGCCGCAGCTAGCTCACAGACTAATAGCGGGCGAGTTTTTCTTTGTCAGGGGCGGCGAGAGCCCCAGCGCACTCGCGCTACTTTACCTCTCTCTTCCATTCTCGAAGAGGGATTTTCGCGATGGGGTCGGAGGTCGAAAAAGGGGAAGTACACCCAGTGAAGGCAGTTGAAAGCCAGGCGGAGCGGACCCCCAAGGTTGGGGCACGATGTGCGCTTCGCAACGAATGGTATGCCGCCAGAATGCCCGCGCCGCTCGTGGTTCCCGCACCCATGAGAGTCGCAACAATGCGGAAATTAACAGGCAAAGGGTCCCTTCTATTGTGTTCTGGGACGTTTCTTTAGATTGTCTGAAAATTTAAGTCTACAGAATGTCGTGAACAGAATTTATGTCAAGTTTTAGAAATAGCAACATAAGTCTCTCAACTCGAACCCCATGAAATCCTTTGTACAAGTGTGCCGACGGAAAAGCATTGCTATACCCATCATACCCCATAATACATCGACCAGTTGAGCAGTCGCTTTTGAAAGACTTGAACCTACTCGGCAACACCTACGTACACAATAGGATCGATGACTTCCTAGAAAGTCTTCGTCTATTTATCAACGCAGAAAACGGCCATTCCAAGGAGTAGTGTTTCTGGTTTGATGCGTTCCACCAATATGATAGTGTGGTTAATTTGAGATTTCTCGGCAACAATGCTTTTTTATGACCAACTCATCTTGCTACCGTAATTTTTGCTCACCCTGTACAACCACATCTTTTTTGAAACCCACCTTTTCCTTTTCTCTATTCTCCTTCTTCTTCCGTAGTATGAATTCGACAAGAGCAGTGACCATTGAGAGCACCATTCCACACATTAGGATGTAAAAAATACCAGCGACCTTTGATAAGTTCAACGACGAACTGGCTCCGCTGTCCTGAAGATATACGAAATCAGTCTGGACTAAATCTGACCGTGAATTGCCTGACCCTACCGATATGCCTTGATCACATTGCCCTCGATCATACCACCACTTGTTCTCCAGCCGCTTCAATTCACCCTTCTCTTGAAGGTAAAGGATCGCCAGATTGAGAGAGCCCTTAAAATCGTCTCAATATCATTACTAGTTTTTCTAGACAGTTTTCAATAATTAATCA